CGGGTTACACCAAGGGTCGAGCTGCGTGATGGCGATGGACGGTTGGGAGGAGTCCTTTGGTGCAGCTGGAATTCGTGCCATATTTGAGGGAGTAGATAGGACGTTGGTGCGTCCGACAGAAAATGAACGCAGCTGGTGCCATTAAAAAGACCGCCGTTGAAGGATACAGGGTATGACACCTTAATGACGTAGCCCACATCGACCCCAAGTTGAGCGCCGTGAGGGTACATCCTTTAAAGGCTTTTTTGTGGGGGGGGGGGGGGGGTTGCCGGTACTTCGTATGCAATATGCCGTATGAAGTACTGCTTGAGGGGATGCGGGATGGTTTGTGGGTGCGCCCTGACCAGAGTTGGACGGGAGGGGGAATGGGCCAGAGCCCAAACTAAGTGGCATGTTCGTCGTTCGACAATGGAGACGGCGTGGATGGAAAGGTGGAGGAGTATCGACGTCTCAGGTCCCTATTACCGACACCCCGTCCTGCCGGCTACCACGCCTGGCAGTCAAGGTCGGTATGCTATGTCAAAAGATGTGCTGTCACTGCCACTGATCGCGGGGCTTACATGAGATAGCGACGGCGAGGATGGATTCTCTCTAATATTGAGCCTCCCGTGATACATGTTAGCGTAGTGTCCCACCTGTCAAAACAGTCATTCCTTACGTGTACCTAACCTACCTGGTGGGTGTGGAAATAAAAAAAGGCGTGAGTCAACGATCGTTAGGCGGGGTAAAACCTATTGATTGATGACGATGTTGGGGGTAACGGGCCGCAGATCCTCCGCGCGGTTTCCTTGTTCGTGCCAAGTATGCCTTGTTCAAACACCTGCTTCTGCAGGTTGCGGAATGATGCCTTTGGTATGCCACCTTTTGCGTTGGCCTCCGCGCCTGCGCCGTCGTGCTGTCCGCATATTCCGAAACCTAAGCTCAACGTTGAGGCTAGCATTACCGCAAACATCAAGAAGCAATCTGAAGTCAGCAACCATACGCCTCAGGGTTTTTACTGATCCTACTCCTTCTTCGTGGTGCCGGGGAGCCCTGTCTGGTTCTTCGCTTTGGCCGTCAGTGTCGTGGAGTCGGTTCACGCGCTCTGGCGCCTCGGTCCTGGTTGGGCCGAGGAGGTTCCCAAGGAGGTGGTCCAACGCCGCCAGACAGGCTAGAGACATCCGGCTGTATCCTTGACCAATAAGAAGCAGGATTTTGAGTCCCCCAGAAAATTTGCACGCAATCTAGCACTTGAGCCCTTCGGTGCCCACTTCGCCATCAGAGCCGATGTTGGGACGGACTTTGAGACCGATTAATAGGAGCACGTGATTGGGTTAGGGACAATCTCCCCCCCCCCCCGGGGAATGTTCCAGCCCGTTGGTCAATGGTTGCCCATACCAAGTATGCCCATCTCTACCATAGTATATATCCTGCATGGTGTGAAGTGGGGATTTTGTCCCCCTTTCCCATGCGCGGCCTGCAGCTTGACACCTTTCTCATTCCACTTTTCGTTTTCGTCTCCATATTGCCCGTTTCTTAGCCCTCAGCCTGCTCGCCTCACAGGGGCGTTGGTCATGACGTTTGGTTTTGCGGCTCAGGAGCCTATATGAAGCCGCAGCAAGCCCCATGCGATTCGCTCTCAGGGGATGGAATCGAATGCCTTTCCATTGCCAAGAACATCTACTCCCAAGAAGACCACCGACGCCGATTTCGAATCTGTTCAGACTTCGTTACTATCGTAAGAGCTTCACCTCTCCTATCTCCGACCTAGCCTATTACAGACTCCTTACTTGTCTCGAGCTCCTGAGGTGGG